AGGGAAATTAAAGGGAAATATACCAGGAAATGGAAGGAAACTAAAGGAAAGTATACCAGGAAATGGAGGGAAATTAAAGGGAAATGTGTAAGGTAATGGAGGGAAATTAAAGGGAAATATACGAGGAAATGGGGGAAATTAAAGGGAAATGTGTAAGGAAATGAAGGGGAATTAAAGTGAAAATTTCCACGATGCTGTATATTACGTCATTCTTCATGTGTTATTAGGAGATGTTAAAATATGTTAGAAGGCGTTAAGAGGTGTTAGTTGATACGTACCGGATTTCCTTCGTGCCACCTCTTCGCATATCATGTTCTCCTGATACCAAATTGTAAAATTTGGCCTGAATTTAATACGTAGCAGCTATTTCGCGGGATAAGATGTTAAGGTTTCAAAGTTAAAAGACGATCTGAACTGTTATCATTTTATTAAACCACCTTAAATTATAAACGGCCACGGAGGTAATGGGTGGAAGGGAATGTCGAACTAAAATCACTGGTTCAGGCTCGCTGGCATGACCGCTGGCATTTCTGTGTCAGTGGTAAAGGTCTAATAGCGGACCCAGTCTCCTATTCCTTTCAGCCTTATTATACATAGATGGTTCAGCACCGACAATTTCTCGAGGTTGGTTCACGAAGAACGGGCGCGACGTTATTTAAGCACACGGTGAATATTTTCAGGAAAGCAAATGCTTGACCTAGAAACTCGTTAAACGGAGTGAATTGAGGGCAATTCTTCTTTGTACCAAAACACAGCATTCGTGGTCGTTGCGAGGCCCCCATTTCTACGAACCTTCTAAGATCTCATTCCTTAAAGTCTTCTCTTGCGAAGAAAGTGCATGTTCCTTACTCTCCGTCCAAGAGGAAGAGAATCGTAAAACGATCTCTTCTGTAAATCATTCATTTTATATTTTCTGCACAATTCCAAAAGGACAATAGCGATGCTCTTACTGTGTCTGAAATTTCGTTAAAAAAAAAAAATAATATGAAACAGCGATCCGAAATGTGTTGATGAGTTTAAAGTCTGAGGCGTCGATTATCAATATATGCAATACTGGTAGAGGACAAAGGAAAGGATTTTTTGCTACATTACCATTCAATAAAAATTCTTAGGCTCAGTCCCTGTGCACAAAAGTGCCATTGAAGCTGTTCGCAGGTGAATGATATTTGAGAAACACCGGCTCGAGGAAATCCAAAGAAACGAGAATCGATGCCGTCAAAACGTTGCACTGCACGTGGTACTTAAAATATAAACAAGAATGCGCAGAGTGTAAACAACCGGTTTTTAATATCGTATCGTGGCATAGCGATTCGACTAGCGAAGTGTGTCGCGTGGTCAATGACTGTCCCGACAGGCTACCACGAAACTTCCGGTAAATGGAGAGATGGTTTTGGATCAATTTGCTGGAAGAAATACCTTGACAGTATATGTAAGATTTAGCATATCATAGGGATTCGTACTTGCTCGATACAATTTATTCTTGTGGAACACTATTTTGAAAACTTTCGTATCAATCATCTAAACTGTTTATGAAACATGTTCATTCTAGATTTCCAAAAAAAAAAAAAAAAAATTGTCTAAATATTATTAAAATCCATATGCAGACACATCCGTGCGGAATCACCGTGCTCGTATCTTTAACACACGCGTCTGAACGCCTATCGGCGTTTACCGCACGAGTGGCTCGACTCGCTGGAATTCGCTAGGAGTATTGACAGGGGACGACCAATTAGGTCGCTAAATACGTTTCGTCGATGGTTCGATTTACGCTTTACAGGGAGCGCAGGTTGTTTCTGAGAGGCATGATTAGCACGATACTCCTAATAAGAACACGCGGCAGCATCCCGCTACCGAAACAGTTATGATGAATCGCGAGCACTAAGACGGCGAGTGTAAAAGATGGTCCTTGGCAAAGAAAAGGAAAGCCTCTGGCCATGGGATTGGTGGATGAGTCGATGGAACGATAGTTACGGTTTTACCTTGTTGAAATTCCTCTAAAATTACGAAACGACTAGGACTACGATTTTCAACATTTTTGAAAAGCGTTTTTTCAAAAAAATTTATATGTATATATATTTCTGCACCTCGAGTGCAGGATCTTGGCATTGTGAGTTTTACCGTTGAACCATTTTATAATTAAAGTATTTGATTTTTTAAATTGTTTCTTTATATCGCTTCTTCATTTTATACTAATATATTTAATATTTATATTATGTTATATTAATAATAATAATGTTTATATGAATGTATGAAATTCATTTTATAAGTTAATAAATTATATCAATATATTTGTATGTAATATAAACATTTTATATATATTTTCTGTGTTAATAAACATATTTATACAATATGCGTATAAATAGTACCAGTACCAATGATTCGCGGTCGTGCCGTCGGAGAAGAACCTGAAGTGGCAATAAAACTCGGCAAGTCCGCCTGGAAGGAATTCGTTTCTTCAACTGGGTGAAAAAGTTACGCTAGTTACCATCACCGATGATTACAGATGTTGACGGTATCCGAGAATGTACGTTCATTAGCGAGCAGCATCGTACTTCGTGGTTAAGAAATTATTTGGTAAAATGTCGATATATTAACACGCGACCTTAAGTAAACCACCGTATTCTAAAAGCTATCATTGAATTCTTGTTGCCATTTTGACAAGCTCTCCATTTAGTATTTTCTCTGCAAACATCGAAATACTTCCGTGAATATTAATTATTAATTAAAAAATTTTAATAAAGTTTTAATTTCGAAGTGGAAAACCGCGAGGAAATTCGCGAGCTTCGTTTTGCATTCGTCGACCGTCTTATGTCAGAGAATTCGGTCGAAGTGAACAGTAACCGTAAACCCCCGTCACAGGGAGATGCGGACCATCGTGATCCGCGGCGGTCAGCGTCGGAAGATTGGTCAGTTCCATTGAAAATAGTGCCAAAGGCACGTTGGTCATTGGCCGTGCGGCCCTACCCCCCACGTGACTGCGCAAGCTATATAGCAGGCCCCGCGAGGAATTTCATCTTCAGAGCTGAGAGTCAGTGTCAAGGAAGTCCACCTGAAGGTAACCGAGTGAGTACCATGTATTTTTGACCATTACCTGACGAGTCTTCCTCACCTGGCGAGTCTTTCTCGCCTGGCGACCCTTCCTAGCTTTATCGTATCATTCGATGTCGTAATTATCCAAAATCCTTTTATCATCCTTGGGTATCAAGAAGCACGAACAAGACGTTAACTGCCACGATTATTCCTATCTAGAAGAAGAGGAGGGAAGCTACTAGAATCTGATATTGGAAATAACAAAGGGTACATTTATGGATGCCTTGTTTAAAAATTTTCGAGTCTCAGGGTTCACTGTAAAATTACATTACATTTAATCGTAACCAACCTTGAACACCAACCTTCTAAGTCCTCGATCTGATCTCTATTGCAACGTATCTACATATACACGTAATCTAAGTCTCAACCTGATGGTCACTATAATGTATCTCTACTAATTTTAGTAGCTACGAAGCTTTGCTTATTAATATACTCTTACAATTACTTTAATTATCGAGTACGCCTGTAATCTGTTCGACAAACAATAATCTATTCTAATGGCCATCAAGTTGAGACTTAGGACATGTACCTATTAGGTTATTCCAAAAGTTTCTTTCGCGAGTCGCATTCAATTGTTTTCTGTGGCAGTGTTTATATAAATAGACAATCTAATTTCTTAGACATTGATGCTGTAACGGTAACGAAGCGAAATGAATCGTGCACAATTCAGTAATGTAACATAAAACACACAATATCGTGTATATGTTAATTATTAATAAAACGAAAGAAACTTTTCGGACAACCTAATACATGGGTTCATCGTAGAGATGGATACATGGAGATTAAGTGGAGAATTTGGAAGATTGGTATTATTTCAATGTAACGATACAAGTAATTATTTCTACTTGAACTAGATTTATAAATAATTGAATATAAAAACACAGAATTAATTTCTAAACCTAATATACACGATCTAATAATTACAAATGGAAAAAGAATGATGTACTCCATTTATAAGTCGTTGCATACCTTCGAAATCATAATATTCAAACATATGTATAAAAAAGAATTGGATGTTATTTGTTATTCGTTCTGATATTTTGATATTTCTCCGTACCCGTCGAGTATCTACATTTAAAGCTTGGTTTCGTTTTAAAACCCGCTCCTTCGCGACCTATCCTAAGTTACGAAAGAATTTTGGTGACTGAGACGTGTACCAAATCTGCACGATATTGCTTCTTTTTTTTATCGTTCGATCATCGTCGAGGACGACAGTAGATCGTGACCGCGTTTCCCTGTAACGGTACAAGTCGAGTTCAACAAACCGACAGGTTCGATCAAGAAGTGGGCTAGATGGTGACGCCAAGGTGACCTTAACCGCTCCGACACACTTTTCTCTTGCTCGACGTCGTTCCTCAGCGATGTGCGACGTCGTTCAGGTTTACGCGTTCACGCGTATCGACCTATGATTTATTTTCCCTCGTTTCTTGGTAGAAGGTCAAAGGTCAGAGTGGAGACCTAAATAGAATCGCTCCTGTACTAACTTTTATTGAAGCGCTTCGTATCAAGGAGCGATAAAGAGGATTATCGAAGAAAGAATTATATGATAAAATTTAAGGAAAAAGTATTCGTTATGAACACTTTACCGACCGGTAGCAAAAGGACATACAATTAAATTGGATCTTATTGTTTATTCTGACAAATGTAATATTATTCGATATTTATTTCATCTATTAGAATCTTTTCTATAATATTTATATAATATTTGATTATTTATACAACGACGGGAGCATAAAACGTTATCGCAATAATAGATAACAAAGTATTGTCCTAGCAAAAAGTCTATCGACAAGGCTGTCGGCCGGTAAAGTGTTAAAATTCGAAGAAAGGAGACAGAAAGACGGAAGAATTTTGTTTCAGAATGCAGTACATTCAGTACGTGTCGTTATGTTTGGCGCTGCTCGTTTTGGGGCAAGCGGCTACCTTGCCCCAGCATCCTCAGTATCCGCAGGTGCAACAGCAAGACGGAGAGGACAGAAAATTCGCTGAGAAGCCAAACGCTATGAAGAAGGTTGGCCTCGATGACCTGCAAGAAGTCAGTTCCAATCAGATTCAGGCAAGCACAGAATTTTATAACTTTACCTTAATCGAGTGGTATACTAATTCCTTGAATGGTACTTGCCAGTAAAAATAAACGTTGTCGCTATTTATCCTTATACAAGCATAGCGTAAGAAGCTATAACTTCGTTATCGATACATTTAGAGAAAAATGTCAACGGAAAAAAATGAATGGTTCGATATGTAGTATACTATGTGCGTAGGACATGTGCATTATTTGTTTAAATGGAAATGCATATTTTCTTTACATAGGTTGATTCATCTCGTTGATTCCTATTTAACGTTCGACTGAATTTTTTTTTTTTTTTTTTTTTTAGGAAGGTGGTGCCAGTAATGCGTTCTCTTGGTCGAGCATGCTAAGCATGATGATGCGTCTGTTGCTTGGACGAATGGGTAGCGATAACGAAGCAAGTAAAAACGAGATCGACGATGGAGTACCGACAAGTCCCTGGGCAAATTTGGTCGCTGTTGGTTTCAGGGTGATCACCGCTCTGATTGGTGGTCCTCAGCATCCCGATGGCGAGGGCATGGACAAGGTCAACAACGATGCAAGTCCTATGCAGGTACTTACTCCAAGAATCAGTGGCGCAGTTCAGAGATTTAGCAAAGAGATTTTAGCAAAGAGATTTTAGCAAAGAGATGCGACTAAAAATTAATCGAAACGAATACGTCGCGATAATTTCAAACATTTCACAAAACTTGATTAGATAAGGTAGAGGACAAATGCGCGGAACTTCTTTTCATTGCAAATTTAATTTTTCACAAGATTTGTTCCAGACATTTTTCAACATCTTGACAAGTAGTATCGATGGATGAAAGAGTTGACGAGGAATTATTCCGGAACTGATAATAAATTGAATTTTTTTTTTTAACAGTTCATTAACATAGTGGTGAATCTTTTGGACGCGCTGAAAACATCGTTCTCCCATCGTTCCTTGACGGCTCGATCTTTGGGAAGACGGGACACGGTTTCGGAGGCTGCTGTCGCATCTATCACCATGCTCAAGGTAAATATTTCGTTATTTATACTTGTACGAAACAATTTCATAGGGCACGTTTACGCTGTTTCGAGGAATACATGCAACAACACAAACGAAACTTATCCAAGACCTTTTCTTTGACGAGGTTTCAGGGCCATACTAAATATTCCGAGATTGCATAAACACAACAGTACATTCCTTGGTGGCCAAATTTGTTATCTTTCTATATATATAAAAAATATAGAACATAATATATGGTTCAGTTGCCAACAGATATACTACAGAAACCCTAAAACCGACAAAAATGTCTGGTTACATGTCCCTCGTGAGATAATGTAACTTTGTCCCACACGAGCATGAATAACGAATATATTTAAATTTTTCCATTTATATGCATCAATTTACGTGATTGCAAATTCATGGGACACTTTATGTTGCGATCGTGTTGGTTCTAATTAGATTGCAAACGAAATAAATTTCGGATTTAGGGTTACATGAGGTCGCTGAAGACCTTCGGTAACGTGGGTCGTGCCGAGGACGAGGGTCAGCGAGGTTGCGCTGAGAGAGCTCTCTGCGAGGCGAGCGCCGAGTGCGTTACGGATGCCCAAGGCACGTCGTCCATCTTTTGTCAACTTGGATCGTAAGTGTTTCCTTTCTCTTTTTTTTAAATACGTTTATTTAAAGTTGCCGTTCAAGAAAAGCAGGCGTTGTGAGTAGCGTAGACCTCGGTACCCATGTTTAACCCTTTGCACTCGAGGCCTTTTTGTCTGGCATCTATCAGCAACTCTAGATGCTTTCTTAGCATTCTATTGTCACGAATGCTAAGCTTAGATTGACTTCTCGAATGAGATCTCTAATTTGAGATCTGAAAGTCAGGTCGCCTTTGCCTCAACGACAATCATTTTATTGACACTTCGAGTTCCAACGAAGTTAAACCTAAAGGAAACCTAGTGGTGACTGAGAGTCACCTCTCGAGTGCAAAGGGTTAATAAGTTATTATTAAATTATTAAAATTGCTTCGACAACAGAAGCGAGTAGCGACTGCTATAAATACTATACTATAAATTACAAATTAGGAATTTTCGGTTCAGTCATTATAATACACATTGTTAGGTGTGTCAACCCTTTCGACGTGTCTGGTTTCTATTTGAATTCTGTTCGTTTTTCTTTTACAAATTAATTGTATCGAGCTAGGGTTTGCTATAAATCAAAGATCGTAGTTAGATAAGAAGGGACGATTTGCCCCAGCGTAAATAATATTCATTTTTTTTAAACACGTGTTCCTGTGAGTCTCGACTGTTATTTGGACAATGGCAACCAGATATATTCACTGGGACACGTATGTTCCACTAGGGTACTGGTTGCGGAAGACCAACTAAACCTAACAGATTCATACTTCCAAGTTACCAAATATGTGACCGTGTTATTTTAAAATTTGTGTGTTATTCCTCCAGATACGCTACCAGCTACATTCTCCAGAGGCAGAGCGGCGTAGGTTTCGAGGCGCTCTACGAGGCAGGTCGACGCGGCCGCACAGGACAAGACTGCAGAACTCTCTTCATGGACTGCAACGCCGTATGAGGGGGCTTGGTCTCGTCTCGATTAACTCGGTTCATTGATTGGTAGACCGGTTTGTTTCTGTTTTGGTTTTCCAAAACGGAACGAATCGAAATGACGAAATTAAGACCTCATCCTGAGAATCGATCGAGCTGGTTAATCCTTTGAGTGCTGTCGGACGCCTGTAAGCGTTCGATCAATGCGCCACGCGCGGTGAACGCCTACGGGCGTTCAGAGAACACTAAGGGTGCGCGGGATTCCCGAAAATATTCGGGATTCCCGTGAAATGTCCGGGATTCCCGAGAACATTCGGGATTCTCGAGTTTATGCGGGATTCC